CCAAGCCTGCCAGATCAAATCGAGCTCGGAGGCGCGCGAGCGGCCGGCGCATCTCGCAACGCCGGTGGTAAAGGGGCTGGGGGCGTTGCCGCCAATCTCGAGAAAGCGTCCGCTAGCTCGTTGGCCTCCGACGGTAGATGCGAGACCGCGCACGTCCACCAGAAGGCAGCCTTCCTCCATGAAAGCTCCCTGGTCACGGCCTGCAGGTCTCGACGTCCTCGGTAATTAACTGCGCCCGCGAGCGCCGCGAGGTCGCCCCCCTCGTTGGCGAGGACTTGCCCGACTGCGAACGGCGTGCCCCGCGCCAACAGGGTGACCAGCAAGGTGACGTCCCCCCACAAGGTCTGCCACTTGGAATTGCCGATCTCGGCGCTGAACCGCCGGGGGAGCTCGCCCAGCCACGTGAACGCGAGGCATTCGCGCGGGGCGCCCTTCTCGAAAAGGATGGCGCCGCAGGTCCGGTCGGCGGCGCACCTCGCGGGCGAGGGGCAGAACGGCGCCTATGATGATGAGCACCCGCACCCACGCCGCGGCAGCAGTGAATCGGCGAATCGCGACGTGCCCTGGCGGCGCCTCCGGCCGCGCCGACGCCGCTGCCTGCTCGGCAGCCATCAAGGCCGCTCAGAATGGTGCTGCTGAGGGGCATGCCTCTGGCACGACCTGGGCAACGCGCGACCCCTTGCCCGCGGCCGCGCGCGCCGCGCTGAGGGGGGCCGTGCCGGACCCCCCGCAGAACACATCCACGATGTCGGCCGTCGCCTTCAAAAGCTAAAGCGGCAGGGTTACGCAGGCCACGGCGTCGCGCAACTCGAACTGGATGCCGATCCAGACATGGGCGCCCAAGGCGACAGTTCCTTTCCTTCACGCCAGACCCAGGCCGAGGGCGAGCCACCACCCGAGGATCGTGTCCAAGGTGCAGTGAATGCCCCCGTCGGAGCCCACGAGGGTGATCGCTGGGTCGTCGACGTAGAGCTGCAGCCGGCCTTCAAAGCCGACGCCATGGCCTGAGCGGAACGGGCCAGGAATGACCCGACCCTGCCGTGCACCAGGGGGTTGGCCTTTCCCCCGAAGCCCAGGACTCGCCAAACGATGACGCGGCCGCGCCCTGCCGTGGGGGGCCCCTCGAGGATCGCGACGTTGAAGCGCCTTTCGTCCTCGCGCACCGGGACGCCCACGAAGGAGTCGAGGAAGCCGAGCACGAGGACGCCGACCCGATGAACCCGAGTGGGCGCCCCTACGCGCCGCCCTAACAAAGCGAGGTCGACCGCGTGATCGACCCTCCTCGGTAGCACGACGCGCTCGCGCGTCGTGGAGGCCCCGTTCACCCCATTGGCCTTGAGGTCCTGCATGACCCTGTTCTTGAATGTCCCGCCCCGCTCTCGGCGCCGGACGTAGCCGAGCGGCGCAGGGAAGACGCGCCCGAACATGGCCTCGGCTGCCTCCACCGCGTCGAAGGTCTCACCGTAGCCCGACTTTTAAGGTAGCCGCGAATCAGGTCCAACGACGGCGCCCCCGCCTCCCCGTGCTTGTCGGCAAAGGACGGGTGGTTGGCCGAGAACGCGTAGTCACCAGTGCCCAGGTCGCCGGGCCAAGGTGCCGCTGGGCTCGGCCAGCAGGAACAGTCCGCCAGGCACCACTGCGCGGGATATGCCCATGGGGGCGCCCTCTTCCAGCCACCCCACGACCTCCCGATCGGGCCCCTCGGCGAGCCATATGACCTGCTGCACCAAGCGGAACCGCAAGTTCCAGTCTCCCCGCAGCAGCTGGCGAGCCCAGTCAGAGTCGCGCCCTCAGACTCGGCCTCTCGAGTGGCGAGCCTGACCTGCCCCATGACGCGCAGGAACGCAGGCTCCGAGGCGACCGCCGAGGCGACCGCCGCGGCCGCGTTCCCCATGCCGGCCCTGCACGCCGCGTCTTCCCGACGCCGCTGCTCCCGCGCGTCCAAGGTGTCCACGCCGCGAGAGGCGCGGCGGCGCGCCGGCGCCGGGTCCCCGAACTTGGACAGCGCCTCGAAGTGGGGCTCCTCCCAAAGGAGCGGGGTGGCGCGGAGCCGCGGAAGAAGCGGCAGCTCGCCGCCGCCGCGTCTCCGCCGGGGAGGCCCCGAGCCGCCGGAGCTTGCCCAGAACGTCCTGCAAGCTCTGGCGCTGTCGACTCAGCTGAGCCCGGCGCGAGCCGGGCGTCTCGCCTGGGGCGGTCTCGGGCGCCTCCTGCGCGAGCACTGGCACTGCCGCGGCTGCCCCGCGAGCTGGGCGTCGCGCCCTCGGCGGCCCCCGATGCCTCCCGCGCCGTCCCCACTGGCGCGGGGCGCCGAATGGCCTCGCTGGGCAGCTCACCCACGCCCAGGCGGCGGCGGCGCAGCTATGGGCGCGGCCCCGGGGGCAGCGACCGTCCGCGCAGCCTTTCTCCGAGCGGTTCCAGCTGAAGCAGAGCTGGGAGCCGTTGGCGGCGCGGACGAACCGCCCGTCCTTGCGACGCTCGATCCCAGCCAAGCCCCTCTTCTTCTTGTCGTCCTTGCCGCCTTTCTTCCGGCTGGCGGCCGCTGCCGGAGCTGTCGGTGGCGGCGGGCCGCCGCCGCCGCCGCCTCCACCGCCGGCGCCGCCGCCGCCCGCCTGCAACGCCGGCGGCGCGGCGCCCCGGCGGGAGGCGAGGAGGCACAGCTTGTCCACGCGCTCGTACCACCATTTGGCGCGGGGGCTGTTCTCTGATTTAGCCGAATCCCTCTGGCGCCGGATGCGCTCCCAGCGCTCCGCTCGCATCTCGTCGTCGGCCTTCGAAATGATGCCCCACTGCTCGGGGAAGGCGCAGTGGAGCAGGCGGATGCCCTCCTCGCACTCGTCCAACGGCCCCGGCAGAGAGGCCTTCAGCGCGAGCGTCGCCGCCCTGAAGACTCGCCAGCACGCCCGCCAGGTGTCGAAAGAGGAAAGCCCCCGGAACTGCCGAGTGACCAGCTCCCCCCCGACGAACACCTGGGCGGTGAAACGTAGCAGCCGCTGTTGACGCCGGCCGAATGGCCCCCACGCGGCCATGTCAACGTGTGGGGCCATGTCTTCTGCGAGCTTGGCGGCCAGCGCCGAGAGCTGGTCCCCCGTCGCGTCCTCGTGCTCGCGGGGCCCCCCGCCGTGGGCCCTCTCGAAGTCGGCCCACAACGCCGCGATGCGCGGCGCCGAAGGAGCTCGACGCCTGTCTCCGTCATCCGCCTGGTCGATAACGGCGGTCCGCTTGCGCTTCCGTGCCGCCTGCACGGGACGCGGTGCCTTGGCCGCAGGCCGCGTCGGCGCTTGCGCTGGGCCGCCCAGCGTGCCGAAGTCAGGCGAGGGCGCGCCGCCGATCTCCGCAACCTTCCGGAGGAAGCGCCGCAGCTTGGACTTCTGGAGCGCCTGCAGGGGCATACTGTCAACCACTGTCTCGTCCAACGCCGTGGGCAGCTCCAGTAGGGAAGTCGACAGCAGATCGTCGATCGTGAGACTGCTGAGGGTGCCCCCGACCTGATCCACGCACGCTCCGAGCAGTATCGTGTCGAAGCTGACCATGTCCGCGATCGAGGAAGCCAATAGGGGGCGAGGTGTCAGCTGCGCGCGCTCTGAGGGCGCGCCTTCGGCCGCAGCGCCGCCCAAGCCTCCCCCCAGCGCCGTGGCCGCCGCAGCCGCGGGTTCGCCGCCGAACCAGCTCATCGCCCCAGATGCTGCGGCGGTACCTTAGTAGAAGGAGAAAACTTGGGTGACCGAGAGCACGGAGGTGCGCTCGAGGGCGGAACTTGAGACCAAAATGGCCATGGGCACGCGAGCGCCATGTGACTCCGTGCATCCGTTCCGCTCCTGCACACCTCATCATCATCATCATCATCATCATCATCATCATCATCATCATCATCATCATCATCATCATCATCATCATCATCATCATCATCATCATCATCATCATCATCATCATCATCATCATCATCAGCAGCAGCAGCAGCAGCATCATCATCATGATTATCATCATCATCATCATGATTATCATCATCATCATCATCATCATCATCATCATCATCATCATCATCATCATCATCATCATCATCATCATCATCATCATCATTGTCGTCGTCGTCGTCGTCGTCGTCGTCATCATCATCATCATCATCATCATCATCATCATCATCATCATCATCATCATCATCATTGTCGTCGTCGTCGTCGTCGTCGTCGTCGTCGTCGTCGTCGTCGTCGTCGTCGTCATCGTCGCCGTCATCGTCGCCGTCATCGTCTTCGTCTTCGTCGTCACCGGCGTTGTCATCAGAACCACCACCGTCGGTAAGCATCATCATCGTCATCACAATCGCCACGAACCAACTCATACGCATCACCATCACCTACCGTCATCGTCGTCGACAGCCGCAGCATCACCGACGTCGCTAGAATCGACAGGCACAACAGGACACAGTCTGTTGCTCAGGGCCTCTTCCTCCTCCTCCTCCTCCTCCTCCTCCTCCTCCTCCTCCGGGAGTCCGACTGCTGCTCAGGGCCTCGGCATGTCGCCCGGGAAAGGAGACCGACCGCGGCGGCGGGGAGGAGCCACCAGGGGGGCCGGCGACAGGACCTGGGGACGGGAGGAGGAGGAGGAGGAGGAGGAGGAGGAGGAGGAGGAGGAGGAGGAGGAGGAGGAGGAGGAGGAGGAGGAGGAGGAGATGAGAGAGGAGGAGGAGGAGGAGGAGGAGGAGGAGGAGGAGGAGGAGGAGGAGGAGGGGGAGGAGGGAGGAGGAGGAGGAGGAGGAGGAGAGGAGGGAGGAGGGAGGAGGAGGAGGGAGGGGGAGCAGGAGGAGGAGGAGGAGGAGGAGGAGGAGGAGGAGGAGGAGGAGGAGGAGGAGGAGGAGGAGGATGGAGGAGGAATCGGCGCCGAGCCGCGAGGCGCGAAGCGCGAATGCTTCGGCGCAGTCGAGGGCGCCCTGGCTGCTGCAGCGCGGGAGGCGCACTGCCGGTGCCGGCTGCCACGGGGGGGCGACGGCACCAGACGCGGCGCGCCTTGTTGGCGCGGACGCCCTCAGGCATCATGTCGATGATGTCGTGCATGACCTTGGGTGGGAGGAGAGAAAGGAGAGAGGGGGAGGGAGAGGGAGAGGGAGAGGGAGGGAGAGAGAGAGAGAGAGGGAGAGGGGGAGAGGGAGAGAGAGGGAGCGAGAGAGAGGGAGAGGGAGCCAGGAAGTGAGGGGGAGAGCGGGAGGAGGGAGGGGGGGTGGAGGGAGAGGGAGAGGAATACAGAGAGAAAAGGGTGTGCACATATATATATATATATAGGGGGAGAGAGAAAGAGAGAGAAAAAAAAAAGAGAGAGAAAGAAAGAAACAGCAGCAGCAACAACAACAATCATTTGACCCTCATGCACGATGTTTCCACACGAAGTATGCGACCATCATGATAACCACCCCCATCATGGGGGACTATTGTTCTATAGCGGCGTCCGTTATTCCCATTCCCAGATTTCTCGCCCAATGAGGTCTTGCAAACACCTCCTCCGAGGAACTTCAACATATTCCGACTCGAAAACGCATGCCCGCGCCTTGGTGCGCCGATGCGAGACCACCAGCGGAACCCCAGCCAAGGGTAGAGCACAAGGAAGTATCTTGCGACAGGATTGCCGTGGTGGGGATGGAGGCTGTCGGCGGCGAGGCAAGGACCTGGTCCTCAATAGAAAGGGAGGAAATCTCGAGCAGGGCCGCTGTTGTTGCTGGGAACGGCGCCAATGCTGAAGAGAGTAGGGCGCTAGTCCAGCGCAAAACAAAACGAAGTCTCGAGCGGGAACGCTGGTTTGTTGGGGCGGCGGCTGTCGGCGGCGAGGAGGAACACCGCGGGAGCCGTGGTCTTGGCGGGACGGGGGCTGTCGGCGGCGAGGAACAGCACCGTCCTGAGGAAAAAGAGAGAGGACGCCTCGCGCGGGAGCGCTGATTCTGCTGGGAGCGGCGCAGATTCAAAAAAAAGAGGGGGGCGCCAGTCCAGCGCAAAACGGGAGGAGTCTGGGGCGGGAGCGCTGGTTTTGTCGGGACGGCGGTTTTCGGCGGCGAGGAGGAGCACCGCCCTGAGTACAAAAGGCAGGAAGTCTCGAGCGGGAGCGTTGTTGTCGCTGGGGGCGACGCCGGTGAGAGAAAGAGTAGCGCGCCAGTCCCAGGTAAAACGGGAGGAAGCGTCGAGCGGTAGCGCTGATTTTGTTGGGACGGCGGATTTCGGCGGCGAGCAAGAGCACCGGCTCTGAGTAAAATTATCCCGGCAAAGCAACCTAACAGCGATGTGTAGGAGCATATCTGGAAGCATTCCCCTTAAGATTCACGTGAGAATCCAATTGTAGAATTCTGCTGTTCTCGCAGTCGCAGTCGCATTCGCAATGACAGTCGCAGTGGCAACGGCCTCAGGATCCAATGTAATCCTAAGGATTCCTAGGGATTCCTAAGGCATCCTTAGGCATCCTTAGGAATCCATAGGAATCCTTAGGAACCCTTAGGAATCCTTAGGAATCCTGATTACTAGGGATTCCTGGGGATTCCTATAGAATCCTAAGGATTCCGAAGGATTCGCCTGCCTCGGCCTCAGCCTCAGCCTGCCTCAGACTCAGCCTGCCTCAGCCTCAGCCTCAGCCTCAGCCTGTCTCAGCCGCAGCTTGCCTCAGCATCAGCCTCAGCCTCAGCCTCAGCCTCAGCCCGCATCAGCCTCAGCCTCAGTCTGCCTCAACCTCAGCCTCAGCCTCAGCCTGCCTCAGCCTCAGCCTCAGCCTGCCTCAGCCTCAGCCCGCATCAGCCTCAGCCTCAGCCTGCCTCAGCCGCAGCTTGCCTCAGCCTCAGCCACAGCCTCAGCCTCAGCCTCAGCCTGCCTCGGCTTCAGCCTCAGCCTCAGCCTGCCTCGGCTTGCCTCAGCCTCAGCCTCTGCCTGCCTCGGCCTCAGCCTCAGCCTCAGCCTGCCTCAGCCTCAGCGTGAGCCTCTCAACCTCAGCCTGTCTCAGCCTCAGCCTCAGCCTCAGCCTGCCTCAGCCTCCGCTTCAGCCTGCCTCAGCCTCAGCCTGCATCAGCCTCAGCCTCAGCCTGCCTCAGCCGCAGCTTGCCTCAGCCTCAGCCTCAGCCGCTGCCTCAGCCTCGGCTTCAGCCTGCCTCAGCTTCAGCCTCAGCCTCAGCCTGCCTCGGCGTGCCTCCTCAGCCTCAGCCTCAGCCTCAGCCTGCCTCGGCCTCAGCCTCAGCCTCAGCCTCAGCCTGCCTCAGCCTCAGCGTGAGCCTCTCAGCCTCAGCCTGCATCAGCTTCAGCCTCAGCCTCAGCCTGCATCAGCTTCAGTCTCAGCCTGCCTCAGCCTCAGCCTGCCTCAGCCTCAGGAGCGTGCCTCGGACTCAGCCTCAGCCTGCCTCAGCCTCAGCCTCAGCCTGCCTCAGCCGCAGCTTGCCCTAGCCTCAGCCACAGTCTCAGCCTCAGCCTGCCTCAGCTTCAGCCTCAGCCTGCCTCGGCTTGCCTCAGCCTCAGCCTCAGCCTGCCTCGGCCTCAGCCTCAGCCTCAGTCTGCCTCAACCTCAGCGTCAGCCTCTCAGCCTCAGCCTGCATCAGCTTCAGCCTCAGCCTCAGCCTGCCTCAGCCTCAGTCTCAGCCTGCCTCAGCCGCACCCTCAGCCTGCCTCGGCCTCAGCCTGCGTCAGCCTCAGCTTCAGCCTGCCGCCTCAGCCTGCCTCAGCCTCAGCCTCAGCATGCCTCGGCGTGCCTCAGCCTCAGCCTCAGCCTGCCTCGGCCTCAGCCTCAGCCTCGGCCTCTGCCTCAGCTCGGGCATTCAAAATATGGCACAGGACTGGTGTTCTGGGAACACGAAGATCACGAAGAGGCCCACAGTTGGCTCCGGGCAATCAAAATATTGTACAGGAGTGGTGTTCTGGGAACACGAAGAACACGAAAGAGCCGACAATTGGCTCCAGGCGTTCCAAATGTGGCCCGGGAATGGTGTTGTGGGAACACGAAGAACACGAAGTGGCCTACAGTTGGCTCCGGGCATTCAACATGTGGCCTGGGAGTGGTGTTCGGGGAACACGAAGGACACGAAGTGGCCTACAGTTGGCTCCGGGCATTCAAAATGTGGCCTGGGAATGGTGTTCTTGGATTCCTAAGGATTCCTAAGAATTCCTAAAGATTCCCAAGGATTCCTGAAGCTGCCGGTGTTGTCTGGATCCCGCCCAGACCCCCTGGGGCGTCAAGGTGCTTTCTTATGACCCTACTTAAAACCTATCAGTCTTCGATGTTAGGTAAAAACTAAAAATCTCGAGCGGGAGCGTTGTTGAATTTTCATTTCTGAATCATTTAGATCCCCCCGTCTGGCGCACATTTTTTCGATTGAAGTACCCTTCCCGGGCCTCGCACCCTGGTTCTTTATCAAAGAAAGTCTTGAAGGTCAAACTGTGTCGTTGGCCCCTGGTTTACAACAACAACGGCTCCCACCTGATACTTCCTCCCAAATAATTGAAGAATCGCGCTCGCGCTTTGGACTTCCTTGCAACTTACCACCGGATCGCGGCTCCCGCTTGATACTTCCTCACAATTGATTGAAGAATCGCGCTCTCGCTTGGGACTTCCTCGCATCTTACCACCGAATCGCGGCTCCCGCCTGATATTTCCTGACAAGTTATTCAGATGCCGCTCCTCGATACTCAGGAATCGCGCTCCCGCTACATATTGCCTGGCGGCTCGAAGAGAATTTACCTCCAACGACCCGCCCGCTCGACCCGCCCGTGCTTGCCCGCCCGAACAGCCCGTTAGGGACTGCAGTCGCAGCTCGCTGCCCTTCGCCCGCCTTCGATGCCCCTCGCTGCCCTTACTGGTTCCGCGGTCGCCTTCGCTCGCTGCCCTTCGTGGCCCCGTTGCTGCCCTCAGTGGCCCCGTCGCTGCCCATTGTAGCCGCGCGTTGTATGCCCTTCGTGGCCCCCGCTCGCAGCTGCCCGTCGTGGCCCCATACGCATGCCCTTCGTAGCCCCGCTGTCGCCCTTCGTGGCCCTCTCGCTGCCCTTCGTGACCCCTTTGCTGCCCTCAGTGGCCCCATAGACGAATGCTCTTCGTGGCCCCCGTTCGTTCGCACGCGTCGTGGCCCCCCCATATGCATGCCCTTCGTGGCCCCGCTGTCGCCCTTCGTGGCCCCCTCTCTGCCCTTCGTGGCCCACTTTCTGCTCTCAGCGGCCCCGTCGCTGCTTTTTGTGGCCCCGGATTAATTGCCCTTCGTGGCCCCCGCTCGCTCGCGCCCTCGATGGTCCCATACGCATGCGTTTCGTAGCCCCGTTGTCGCCATTCGTGGCCCCCTCGCTGCCTTTCGTGGCCCAGTTTCTGCGTTCAGTGGCCCCGCTGTCGCCCTTTCTGGCCCCATATATGTATGCCCATTCGTGAACCCCGCTCGTTCGCGCCCGTCGTGGCCCCATATGCATGCCCTTCGTGGCCCAACTGTCGCTCTTCATGGCCCCCTCTCTACCCTTCGTGGCCCCCTCTCTGCCCTTCGTGGCTCCGTCGCTGCCTTCTGCGGCCCCCTGTACGTATGCCCTTCGGGGCCCCCGCTCGTTCGCGCCCGTCGTGGCCCGCGCCAACAACGGCTCCCGCCTGACACTTCCTTACAATGTGTTGAAGAATCGCGCTCTCGCTTGGGACTTCCTTGTAATTTACCACCGAATCGCGGCTCCCGCCTGGTACTTCCTGATAGCTGATTGAAGAATAGCACTCTCGTTTTGGACTTCCTCGCAACCATACGCCTGCCCTTCGTAGCCCCGCTGTCGCCCTTCGTGGCCCTCTCGCTGCCCTTCGTGGCCCCTTTACTGCCCTCAGTGGCCCCGCCGTCGCCTTTTGTGACCCCATAAACGAATGCCCTACGTGGCCCCCGCTCACTCGCGCCAGTCGTGGCCCCATATGCATGCCCTTCGTGGCCCCGCTGTCGCCCTTCGTGGCCCCCTCTCTGCCCTTCGTGGCCCACTTTCTGCTCTCAGCGGCCCCGTCGCTGCCGTCGGTGGCCCCAGATGCCCTTCGTGGCCCCCGCTAGCTCGCGCCCTTCGTGGCCCCATATGCATGCCCTTCGTGGCCCCGCTGTCGCCTTTCGTGGCCACCTCGCTGCCCTTCGTGGCCCACTTTCTGCGTTCAGTGGCCCCGCTGTCGCCCTTTCTGGCTCCATATATGTATGCCCTTCGTGGCCCCCGCTCGTTCGCGCCCATCGTGGCCGCATATGCATGCCCTTCGTGGCCCCGCTGTCGCCCGTCGTAGGGAATGGATATACCCCCCAAAAGGGGGTACGATCGAAGACGAAGGGGGCGGGTATCCAGGATTTCGGATATGCATATTGAATGACACGCGAGCAGATAAGAGCGAACATTATTACAATGATTGTTGTTGTGTTGTTGTTATGTTGTTTTTGTTGTTGTTGGTGGTGTTGGTGTTGTTGTTGCTGCTGTTGTTGCTGCTGCTGTTGTTGTTGTTGGTGGTGGTGGTGTTGTTGTTGTTGGTGGTGGTGTTGAACTCTCATTCTCGAAGAATAATTATTGTTGATCCCCCCCACCGGTGCACATTGTTTTTCCCGATTGAAGTGCCACCCCCGGGGCTCGCACCTTGTTTTTTCTCAAGGAAAGTTTTCCTGCTCAAACTGTGCCCCTGCCCCCCGGGCTACAACAACAACGGCTCCCGCCTGAGACTTCCTCGATTTTTACTCAGGACCCCCGCTCCCGCCTGAGACTTCCGCGCAATTTACTCAGGAAAGGCGCTCCCGTCTGAGACTTCCTCGCAATGTAATCAAGACCCCCGCTCCCGCCTCAGACTTCCGTGCAATTTACATGGGAACGGCGCTCCCGCCTGAGACTTCTTCGAATTTTACTCAGGACCCCCGCTCCTGCCTGACATTTCCGCGCAATTGACTCAGGAACGGCCTTCCCGCCTTAGACCTCCTCGCAATTTAGTGAGGACCCCCGCTCCCGCCTGAGACTTCCGTGCAATTTGCTCAGGAACGGCGCTCCCGCTTGAGACCTCCTCGCAACTTAGTCAGGGCCCCCGCTTCCGCCCGAGATTTCCTCACAATGTACTCAGGACTGCGCTCTCGCGTGCGACGCCCTCACAAATTATTATGGAATTGCGTTTCGGCGCTCAGGAACCACGCACGCGCCAAGGACGTCTTCACAACCCGGTATCTTCCCTCTTCCTTCGTCCTTCCCCCTCCCCTTCCTCCCACTCTCCCTCGTTCTCCCCTCCTCCTCTTGCAAGGCCCGCGCCAATTCCAATGGCGGGCAGAGAGATGTACGCCCTCGAAGGATTGTCCGCCCGTTCCGGTTTGCCCGTACGTCTAAGCCCGCCGGCCCCAGCAAAGAGAAATACCCCCCCCGAAAGGGGTGTGATCGAAGACGAAGAGGGCGGGCATCGAGGGTGTAGGGTATACGTGTTGAATGACTCGCGG